CTAAATTTATTTCCCAAGTACCTGTACCAAATTAATTATCTATATGCCCAAAGTGGAGCTCAAACTCATGACCCTGTGGTCAAAAGTTGAATGTTCCTCCGACTGAGCCAGCAAAGTGCCCCTAGTTGTACCAATTTTAAGTAAGAGTCCCATTAGTCTACATCTTGCCAAGTTTGTATTTTCGGACTTTTTGTGACTAGATTATCTTTTAAAGTATGTCATAGAGAGTACCTTTGGATTTTTTCTAGCATCCCTTTTCTGGTAAATTTTCTACTCAACCTTCCAAACCACTTGGGTGCAGGGATAGCAGCTATATTCATACACTATCATCTCTCTTCTTCACCTGCTGGGAGTCCTAAGGGCACTTGACCCAAGTTGAGCCAAATTCTCTTCCTGGAATGTTGCACTAAGACCCAGAATTCAGCGTGGCTGACTGCTCTTTTATATGGAGGCAATAAAAACTGAGAAGTATGAGGATAGAACAATAATCAATCTAACAAGGTATAAGCACTGTATTAGTTTTCTTCACTGTACTTTTTTGTTCCTTACTGAAAATAACCTAAAAAAATTTTTTTTAATGTTTATTTTTGAGAGTGAGACAGAGCGTGAGCGGGGGAGGGGAGGAGAGAGAGGGAGACAGAATCCAAAGCAGGCTCCAGGCTCCAAGCCATCAGCATACAGCTGGATGTGGGGCTCGAACCCACGAACCATGAAATCATGACCTGAAGCTGAAGTTGGATGCTTAACCAACTGAGCCACCCAGGCGCCCCTGAAAATAACTTTCTTGATCTTTCCCCATACTTGCTTCTGCCTATGACATAATCCTTATTTGTTACATTGAGGCAACAGCCTCACCACTTTCAAGTTTTGATTCCTAGTTTTAAGTATTCACAAATACTAGGTGACTTTTGCAAGACAAAATGTTACACTACACCACTTTTCTAAAAATGTTTGAAGTGGCTCACAACAAAGGTGACTTGAAGGTCAATTACACAGAGAACCTAGAGGATAGAAAGGGGGAGGGGCAAGAAAATAACCATAAAGATCTTGGAAAGTTTGATTCCGAACAAGAGGCAACTTTCTCTACGTGCCTGTCAGGTGCTAGCTGCGTTTCTTCAAGTAACTAGACACAACTTCTAGCACTTACCAATATTATTACCAAATGAAGATTAGTTTTGACCATAAACTATTTATTTTGGTCCCACAGACCCAGATCAATTTTCTCCTGAAATTACTCCAGCATTCTTGTGAAAGACAAAAAGCAGTTCAAGGAGGATAAATGAAAACTGGAACTTTTTTTTTTTTTGCTAATTTCTCCAAAAGGTCAAGGTGTTTAAACAGTAAGTTTTGAAACTCACTTGCATTCATTAAAAAAAACATTTGAGTGCTTACTACGTGCCAGGCTCCACTCTAGAAGCTGGAGACACATCCACAGAAAAAAAAGAGACAAAAATTTCTGCCTGTATGAGCTTACATTCTAGTCACATACAATTAAACTGATTGAAACCCAAAGGCTTCTAAGGGCCAAATACAACAGTCTTGAAGGAATGCCCACTGTACTAAATGGATCTGTACAATGAAGAATTGATTTTCTTCAAAAAATAGACCACAATTTGTTTCAATCTGTCAGTGAGCATACGGAGTTTAGGGAACTCAGTTGATTAAAGATTAAGGTACTGCACTCAAAACAGGTGTTACTGTACAAATTCTCTTCAGTGGAGTTACCAGTCTCCACCCAGGCATGAGCTACAAAACCTGAGGCCATTATCCTGGAAGGTAGGGACCTGTTTTTAAAACTTCTCACTTTAGTTGTACACTACATAACAGTTCCATGTTGAGAGTTGGGTCTTGGGCTTCTCACGTTTTTCTAAGGTAAGAAAGTAGGTTATTAATTTTCAATTTCATAAATTTCAGTAGTTTTACAAGATCTACCAGAAAATGATTTCTCAAGTGATTCTACCCCTCACCCCTGCCTTCTTAGGAATCCTTACCACACTTGAGAGAGCTAAAGCAACAAAGCTCACAGTTACCCCACAACAGTAGACAGAACAGGTGTGTCTGTCAATAACCTGTCGGGAAGTGGCAGCACTTTCAGAAACTGTGCCAACACCAGCTTGAAAATGATATAGGTGAGGTAGCCGGATATAAAAAGTCGCAACACTTTGCTTTTGTTTCTGAGCTCTTTTCTCCGATAAATATACTAGAAGGCTTAAGACTTACTTTGAAGTTAGTTGAAAGTAAACACATACAGGATTCCTCTGGACTACTCCTTTCCTGTTGGACTGTATTTCGTCTTTGTGACTCTGTCAATAATCAGTGTTTATATATGAATAATCTATGATAGTTTCACATGTTGAGTTGTGGTGTCACTGCTTTCTGAGGAAGAATTTTGGCCTGTAAATCTGCTGCATTGCTCAAATTAGGCAGCTGCAAACTGAGCACACCCTCTTACTTGGTGATCCCAGGCCTGTCTCCAGAAATAGACCAAGGCTCCCAACTTTTTGCATGTCGTATCAAAGAAATGCTGAATCTGTAAGCCTCAGGCAGTTAGCTTATTCTCCTCCCCCATTCCACTTGTTATCTTCCACCCTACTGACATTCAAAACATGGGTAACAAGATTTTATAACCGCATTAGCTGGCAAAGTCCCTAAGAGGAGAAAAGCAAAGATTTATGGCCACTTTTATAAAAATACGGTTTAATAAAACTTGCAACCTGAACAGGAAAGTAAATCACAGTGAGAAATTAAAGAAGTTTATAAGTCAACCAATATAGGAGGTGGTGGCTGAGTAACTAAGTTTTGACTTTTATAATTTCCTAATTAGGGAATTTATTTAGAAATTCTGGAATTCGGGGCCCCTGGGTGGCTCAGTCGGTTGAGCATCTGGTTTCAGCTCAGGTCATGATCTCACGGTTCGTGGGTTCAAGCCCCACATTGGGCTCTGTGCTGACAGCTCAGAGCCTGGAGCCTGCTTTAGATTCTGTGTCTCTCTCTGGCTCTGTCCCTCCCCGACTCAATGCTCTGTCTCTCTCCCCCTCTCAAAAATAAACATTAAAAAAAAAAATTCTGGAATTCAAATATACAGGAAAAATCCAATCTCAACAAATCAAAATTGTTACACTATATCTAAACTTCACTTTTGTTGAAGTAAATTTTAAAGAGACTATAGATAAAACTCTACATGTATACTTGCATGGAATCAGTTTATGTCTTATTTAACTACTGTTTTGCAAGGTATGCTGTCACTTTGAAATATTTTTAACTGCTTTTTAGCTGTTTAAGGAAATTATGAAACACTGAAAACTACCAGCAAAGAAATACAGTATTTCTAAGTGGATGCCCCTGGTCTAGTCAGGTAGGGTCTTCTCAGGCACAGCTCTGATTCAGGGCTGGATTCATAAGGAAATGAGGTTAATGAGGTTAATGAGGTTAATGCACCAGGAGCAGAGTAAACTTGACCATTTCCTTCTCTGAACACATTTTCAGCGTAAAGATGTGACAGAAAATAATTGGTTCTTTTGGTTCAAGAGTTATGGTTGCCAAGGAGACAAAGGAATAGAACTGCATTTATAAATGAAGATGTTACTTCAGTTCCTTGGCTCAATATAATGCACTTTTTATATTCCTTAGGGACACATCTCAATATGTTCCTGGCTTTCCCTCATATGAGTTTTCTTTTTGAATGACATATATATCTTCTGAACACTGTTAACACTTCCATTTACCAACCACCTTTTAAGCTTTAAAATTCTTTTGCTGGCATTTTGACTCAACACTTTGTACAAATCAGTCTGGATGATCATGATTAAAATTTGTGCACAAACAAAATTAAAACAATGAATTTGTTAAAACTTCAAACACAAGGGGTAGTACATTGCAAATGATTCTTTCCATTCAAGAACTAGCAAAAATTTAACCTAATCCATGTGATCCATCACATTAGCATGTTTGATTTTAAATGTCATGACATTTGGATTACAGATAAATTTGAATATGGAAATCATTAAAAATCAGAGAGAAAGAATGCTATAAATCAGTGACACTAGAATCCGGGTATTTTTCTCCTAAGAAATGAAGTTTTATTTGAAGTGGCACTGTTACCAAGTAAGTAATCTTTGTAACACATTATATGACAGAAACTTGTAATGTGGTTTTAAGACTCCTCAAATAACCTGAATTTATTTTTTTTGAGTAATCTCTATACTCAATGTGGGGCTTGAATGCATGACCCTGAGATCAAGAGTCATATGCTCCTCTGACTGAGCCAGCCAGGCATCCTACTGCTCGAGTAATTTTTAAAACATGATAAATTTCCATCCTTTCATTCAGTGACCAATATTACTTTCCTTAATTTACTATTTTTTCATATTCAATACTGACCAGGATGAATTATTATTTTAAAAACATAGTAAGTCAAATTCAAATTTGTGTTTTGACTAATACAGAGATTAATAAAAGACTGCCTTGTCTCCTGCCAAAGGTTTATTTTTCTAGACTTCCATCACTATGATTACTTTAAAATTCTATTAGAGGGGCGCCTGGGTGGCGCAGTCAGTTAAGCGTCCGACTTCAGCCAGGTCGCGATCTCGCGGTCCGTGAGTTCGAGCCCCGTGTTGGGCTCTGGGCTGATGGCTCAGAGCCTGGAGCCTGCTTCTGATTCTGTGTCTCCCTCTCTCTCTGCCCCTCCCCCATTCATGCTCTGTCTCTCTCTGTCCCAAAAATAAATAAACGTTGAAAAAAAAAAAATTAAAAAAAAAAAATAAATAAAATTCTATTAGAAACTGCTCACCTTACATTTCAATTAGGATATTTAAATCACATAACATAAAAGCCTATGTGATCTAACCTAATAGAACACATGCAATACAAGAACACTTTCAGAAAAGAAATCAACTCAGTATATGCGAAAGATATTGAAATCTGTTTGAATAGAATGTGTGTTTAAATGTCTCATTGTAAAGGGGAAAAAAAAAAAAAAGGAATAAAATGACCAGTCAGGCTTCATATCAATTAGACAACTTTTACTAAATGAGAAAACTACATTTAAAATGTGCTTTAAAACAAAATGGAATTAGAAAAAAAGACATATGCATTTGAAAGAACTTTGCACTGTGCTGAAAATCAAATCTCTTGCAGAAATACAATACGCCAATTCATAAAATGTAAGTTAACAGAATTCTCAATTTAACATTTTCAAAGACAATATTAAGGTCAAGAATTTCACATCAATGGTAGCACATATAGAAGAAGGGCATTATAAATATGATGTCCATCCCTATGAAGCTTACAAATTTGACAATACTCAATAAAAGCTTTTAGAATCACATCCAAAAGGGTCGCATCCAAAGTATCTCAAATCTGTGTCCTGTAAGTTCTCCTTCTAAAATCCTTATGTTGACTTTTCTACTCCTTGTTAATACTAACCCTTTAAAAAAAGAGAACAGGAAAAGAAATGCTGCAATAAACCCTTGATCATGTACAGAAATTATTGCTACTATAGCTCACTACAAAGCATGTCTATACAATATTGGATGAACTTTGATCATGAAAAATCAGAATAAAAATCTTTAGTGACATAAGCCTTACAATCGTATACAACATTCACATGGCAATATTAGACAGTTAAGCACCCAATAACCATCGTTGACAAAATGTCCCACTGACCAGCATTCATTTAAATACATCCTTCGTACAGAGGGAGGAAAAAAGAGATAGTGTCAGCTTTCCAAGGCTTGTCAAAAAAGGATTCTCATGTTCTGTGGATCTAAAAACAAATAGCAACAACAACAACAACAACAACAACAACAACAGCAACAACAAAAAACCCAAAAAAAAAAAAACCAAAACCAATGCAGGTGAGGGTGTTACCAGAAAGTTAAGCATGCCAAAAGGTGTTTCGTGCGAATTAAAACCTAAAACCAAGGTACCACATAATCACATTACCAACTAGTTGGGTAATACTATATGAGCCTTATCTTAAAGTTAAATGAAATGCTACTGCACAATAGAGCATCAATAAGTTAAAAATTAGAGTGCACAAATCCAAATCAGTGGCAATTGCTGTATAAAGCAAAATATTCACTATCAGCTGTGAAGTTTGCCCAGTCAAACTGTTTGATTCAATCACTGGATTGGATAGTTGGTCTATTTTTTTTGAAAAATATCAATCTTTAAAATTCCTTTTTACTGTAATGAGGCATAAGTTTTCTTAGTAAGATTAAACAGGTACATAAGTAAATAAGCGAGGGAAAATAATAGTTGGTGAATGTCTTTAAAGCTCTTCCCACATTTCACTTGTAAAAATGTTCAGGGGAAAAAAAAATTAATATTTGCCATTATTCTAGCAAAAACAAAACAAAACAAACAAAACAAGCCCAAAATAATTAAACGACCAAGCAACACTAAAACCACATTACACAGATGGATCATCATGCTTTCATCTGGTTTAACTATCACATCTAGTTTAACTGGGATGCTTTTCAACTTTAAAAACTGTGATACGTGAAGATGTAACTTTAATGGGTAATTCTGAATTTGAATTTAACTTTGCTGAATATTATAACAGAGTATACTTATTACAATACAGTGTAGCACATCTTTCTATTAGAAAAAAATTTAAGATCCTTTACCCGTCTCCTTAAGTTAAAGGTGTGACATCATAAAGGGTGTCAAATGGCTGGATGGTTTTACAGTGCACACTTATATATTATGAAGTATGTCCTTAACAAATCTGATGGTTTCTTTATAGAGTTCCTTTCTTCACCTTTTCTTCGGTGGATTAGCTGTTCGAGGTGGAGTGACAGGACGTCCTGAATTCAGTCCACCATACTGGTACTTAGCTTTCTTTTCAGATGGTTTCAATATCTTAAAATAAATAATTTATTAACAGTGTTACTCTTTCAAGTGCAATAAGTTTAAGAAAATTATTGTTATAATAGTGGGCTTTTCAAAAAATGACATAAATTTTAAAGGTTCAATAAAAGTATGGAAAACAAGAAAGTTCCATGGACAGCTCTCACATTTAAAGTGTGCAGATGACTAAACATTTGAATATTCTTATCATCTGTCAAGCCACTGGTAATTCAAAACCTTAAACACACAAATCCTATCAACTACCCAATCCTTAGATTCAAGTAAAAAAATTTTTTTAAATTAATATATCTCTGTGGTGAGGAAAGAACATTTAGTTTATGAGTCAAAAGACCAAGGTTGACTAACAGACACAAGAAAATATACTCAATGTCACTTACTGGGGAAATACAAATCAAAACTATGATGAGATACCACCTCACACCTGTCAGAATGGCTAAATTTAACAACACAGGAAACAACAGGTGTTGGCGAAGATGTGGAGAAAGGGGATCCCTCTTACACTGTGGATGGGAATGCAAACTGGTGCAGTCACTCTGGAAAACAGTACGAAGGTTCCTCACAAAGGTAAAAATAGAACTACCCTATGATCCAGCAATTGCACTACTAGGTATTTACCCAAAGGAACAAATGGAGTACACGTGCACCCTAATGTTTATAGCAGTGCTATCAATAATAGCCAATTTATGCAAAGAGCCCAAATGTCCACTGACTGATGAATGGAACATACAATGGAATATGACTCAGCCAATCCAAAGAATGAAATCCTGCCATTTGCAATGATATGGATGGAGCTATAGTGTATTATGCTAAGCGAAATACATCAGAGGAAGACAAATACCACGTGATTTCACTTGTGTGGAATTTAAGAAACAAAACAGATGAACACAGGGGAAAGAAAAAAGAAAGGAAGGCAAACCATAAAACAGACTCTTAGCTATAGAGAACAAACTGAGGGTTGCCGGAGAGGAGGTGGGCAGGGGGATGAGTTAAACGGGTGATGGATCAGTCACAATGTTTATCCCATAGTATATTTGCTCATCTAGTATCAGGTGTAAACAGAATTGTATTTTCCATTATATCTTCTAACTGCTTGTGGTTTTCATATTTTAAAGCTATTGACATTTGGTTATTAGTATTAAATGCTAATATTTTATTACATTATAAAATATTAGGAGCAAAAAAATAAATGGGTGATGGGTATTAAGGAGTACACTTGTACAAGCACTGGGTGTTATATGTAAGCGATGGATCACTAAATTCTACTCCTGAAACTAAGAATACATTATATGTTAACTAACTAGAATTTAAATAAAAACTTGAAACAATAAAATAATAATAATTCTGCCACTATTTACAGGATAGTCACAAACCCTTTAATTTTTATGTGTAGATCTTAAAATTATTTACATATTTTATGTATCATATCAGTTAAAATGTATGTGTCGATGATTTAAAAGTATTTACAGTTGTACAACCATTGCTGTAATCTAATTTTAGAGTTTTTGTCAGTCCAAAAAGAAATCTTGCTCCCATGGGGCGCCTGGGTGGCGCAGTCGGTTAAGCGTCCGACTTCAGCCAGGTCACGATCTCGCGGTCCGTGAGTTCGAGCCCCGCGTCGGGCTCTGGGCTGATGGCTCGGAGCCTGGAGCCTGTTTCCGATTCTGTGTCTCCCTCTCTCTCTGCCCCTCCCCCGTTCATGCTTTGTCTCTCTCTGTCCCAAAAATAAATAAACGTTGAAAAAAAAAAAAAATTAAAAAAAAAAAAAAAAAAAAAAAAAAAAAAAAAAAAAAAAAAGAAATCTTGCCCCCATAAGCAATCATTCTCCACTACTCTAACTCCCTTCAATTCTGAGGAAAAACTAATTCTTCTCTATTGACCTGTCTTTTCTGGCTATTTCACATAAATGAAATCATACAATATGTGGTCTTCTGTGACTGGCTCCTTTCACTGAAATCATGTTTTTGAGGTTCATTTATGCTGTAGCATGTATCAGTACTTCATTACTTTTAATTGTCAAACAATATGCCATTTTATGGATAGTCCACATTTTGTTTTCGTTCTTTACTTGATGGACATCTGGGTTGTTTCCATTTTTTGGCAATTATAAAGAATGCTCCTATGAATATGCATATACCTGTATTTGAGTACCTGCCTTCAGTTCTTTTTGGTATACCTATGAGTGGAATTGCTGGGCCACAAAGAAACTCTATGTTTCACTTTTTAGGGAGATGCCACACTATTTCCAAAAGCAGCTGCATCATTTTCCATTCCCACCATCACTACATGAAGTTTCCAACTTTTCTGCATCCTCATTAATTCTTGTTATTATCTGATTTTTTAATTGTATTTATTCTGGTGGATGTAAACAGAGCTTTAGCCTACATTATACATAGAAATTTCAGTATTTACATACAAGTGTGTAGAAATGATTTAAGAAGCATTTCTTAGAACTATTCAGAGCATCACAGTGTCTCACTGAAGAAGAAATCCAATTCCACTATGGCAAATGCTGAAAGATAAGGTCTAGTTCCTATCCTTAAATTATAAATGAGAAGTCATGTGTTTATATTCAGGTGTACTAGCTGACAGAAATAGTAATAAAATAAAGGGAAAGAGGGATAGAAAAGCCCGTCCACATTTAAAGAAAGAGACATATAGTATATGCAGGAGAGGCACATAAAATACCCTTTGCAAAAATAAAGCACTGAAGTTGTTTTAGTCTGTGAACAAGAATGATTTATAAGTAGCACACTATGAAGCCAGAGTTGGTCTATTTCTAGCAAAAGGAAACAAAATCTAAGTTATTAACTGAATTCACATTCTTTTAGTAGGTTAAGCCCCTATTCAAGAAGTCATACAGGAATTTAACAACTTAAACATTTGCATCAAGAATGACTGACATAACTTAGGGTCTCTAAAACTCTAATACTTGATATACACCAAAAAGTCCGGAGCATTTGCGAATGAAAACAGAAATCTCCAACAAGTCTATGAGTGATAATCACTTCTGAATAAAACTGATTTATATGTATTTATACTATACCTGAAATGAACACATCAAAGTTTCATCCACACTCATCATTCCACCAGCATTATCAAACTCGCCACAGTAATTTGGGGCTGAAAATAGGGTTACCAATTGTCGTTTAGCAAAAAATTCATATCCATCTTCCACCACCTGTGAAAGGATAGGTCAAAAGAAAAACCACATTTATTTATAGCTGATTCTCAACTGTCTATATTACTGAGATTAATGTGACAAAGACCTAAAAATAAACACTGTTTTGTTTTGGAAGCTTGATTTTTATTTCTAAACTTGTCTTAGAATATTAAAATATTTAGTATGCCTTTTCTATAATGGCAAGGATTTAGCTTAAATGAAATAGTACACTTATGATAAATAAAACGTTTAAAAATCATACCATTTCTAAGGCTCTCCGTATGCTGATAGGTATTGTGTCTACAGGAACCTTACAAACCTAGTACTTCTTTGTTGATGACATTATATCACAACTACAGAATCCTTAATCTTTAATGATTTAACATGATTTCTAGAATCTGTTGTCAATTTGAATGATTTAAACAATGTATATTTCTCAGCTCTACAATTATGAGAAGTAAAGTCAATAACACATAAATATTTTATATTTATTTACAGTAGGCAAGAATAATTTTTTTTTTTTTAATTTTTTTTCAACGTTTTTATTTATTTTTTTTGGGACAGAGAGAGACAGAGCATGAACGGGGGAGGGGCAGAGAGAGAGGGAGACACAGAATCGGAAACAGGCTCCAGGCTCTGAGCCATCAGCCCAGAGCCTGACGCGGGGCTCGAACTCACAGACCGCGAGATCGTGACCTGGCTGAAGTCGGACGCTTAACCGACTGCGCCACCCAGGCGCCCCAAGAATAATTTTTGAAGTCTTTTAGGCATCCTTTGATTAAGCAAAATTATCCTACAATACTTGCTCCTAAGAAGTACCTCCAAAACAATTTACATTTTAAAAGAATTCCTACTATAGTATCAGGTACATGTTCCTATTGTAATTACCTCATGGTAGAATTTAGATATTAACCTTTTCTGTTAAGATCTTGGTCACGTTATCTATTCCAGCTCGGCCACAGTGTTTGGAACTCAGTGTATCCTTTTAGTTCCTAGTCTTTCACTTGTTCATTCATACATTTACTAAATAAACAGGTTTATTGTAAAAGGACATATGTGTAGTTTGTGGTGTTTCCCATCAGAAGTCTCTTAATTTTAGAGATAGGTTTGAAAATAAGCAGAACAGGATTCTGGAAGTGTCTGGAAAAAGACTGTCCAAACCAAGGTAGTTCAATAATCTGACTTCTTTAAAAAATCATTTAAAAGTTTTATTCATTTATTGAGAGAGAGAGAGAGAGAGAGAGAGAGAGAGAGAGAGAGAGAATATCCCATGTAGGCTCTACACCACCAAGCACAGAGCCTGATATGAGGCTCAGACTCATGAACCGTGAGATCATGACCTGAGCTGACGTTGGGTGCTTAACTGACTGAGCCACCCAGGTGCCCCATCATCTATTTTTGAAAAGATCTATGAAGGGAAATATATTGCTAAAAAAATTATTAGTGGGTATCTTATTAGGAAACTTAGCAACTCTGCACTGTTATCTAGTAGAAAACTTCTATTAATTAGCTAAATCATAAACACAGTATTTACCAAATCTTTGCAAAAGCAAAGGATTTGGGGACTTGACTTCATTTCAACTGAGTTAGGAAATTCTGGTAGGAAGAAGACCTGTGATATATACAACATATGCAGAAAACGAGAAACCAATCATCTTTGTTTATCCATAGATCACATAGAAAAGTAGTCAAGTGTCACAGGGAGCAAAGCCCTCCCAAAAAGGGAAGTACTGTGGCACAGCATCTACTTAACAAACTTTCTTTTAACAGACAAAGAAAAAACAAGGAACCTTTAAAAGTATTACACTTAGAAATTTCAAATACTTTTAGTACTTTCAAAAGTAAACAGAAAAGATTTATAAAAATGTCTTTCACTGAATGTATTTACCAGTTATATTTTAAAGAGCATGAGGACTTGACATATCAAATCATTAAAATAAGCTTTTGCTAATTAATTCATTTATTCAAACACTAAGTGCACACTGCAGTATGTAAGTTTACAAGGCAATGGATATTTGGGGCTCCTGGGTGGCTTAGTCAATTAAGGGTCTCACTCTAGACTTTGGCTCAGGTCATGATCTCATGGTTCCTGAGTTTGAGCCCTGTGTCAGGCTCTGTGCTTGGGATATTCTTTCTTTCTCTCTCTCTCTCTCTCCCCCCACCCCACCTGTGCCTCCCCTGCACGCGTGCGCACGCATTCTCAAAATAAACAAACATTAAAACAACAACAACAACAACAACAAAGCAATGGGTATTTAAAAGTCAACAAATCCAATCCCCTCCTTGAAGAGTACAGAATATAGTAGTGGTGGTGGACATTAAAAAAAAAAAAAAAGTAAACCTAAATAAACTTTATTTTAAAAATAAGTATGTATTTTTATAATGAAAGCTCAAAGACACACAAAAGGAGATAGAGTTCAATAAACTCTCATTCTCACCATCCTTATTCAATAATTACCAGGATTCTGCTACATTTGTTTCATTTACTCTCCCTTTTTTCTCTGATGTATTTTACTTTTTTTTTAGTAATCTCTACACCCAACGTGGGGCTTGAACTCACAACCAAGATAGAGGTGCACGCTCCTTTGACCGAGCCAGCCAGGCACCCCAATGCTGATGTATTTTCAAGCCAATCCTAGACATGTCATCTTGCTTCTATATACTTGGGTATGTATTTCTAAAAAATGGACATCCTTCTTACATAGTAACGTTATTATCCTAAGATTTAAACAATGAACAATGACTCCTTGATATCTAACACCCAGTCTATAACTGAATTTTTCCAAGTGTCTCAAAAGTATCCTTTAATACTATGGTCATTTGATTGTTATCTAAAATACATATAAACATATTAAAATGGGATCAAGTATTTCTAGAAAGCTTCAGACAAGTGCCAAAAATTCTGCCAGCATTGTAGTATACTGCAAAATATAAATTAGTTTGAAACACCTCCTAGAGGGTGAGAAAGGGTTAACAAATCATTAGATTGTTAATTGTGAGATCAAGGTATATAGGCTTCATCTCTCCTACACTACTTTCCTTATATAATTAGTTTTAGATCTTCGTTTCCTCAAAAACAAAAAAAGCAGACCTGTGTAAATAAATATTAAAATGTTCAAAAGTTTTAGATTTCATACATACCTGATGAGCTCGACAAATCAAATCTAAATCATGACGATTCAGAAATTTACTGACTACATCAGCTCCAAAAGTGAAGGAAACACCACGATCATTTTCTCCCCAGCCTTGCACATCCTTATCTGGGTCAGACCACAGCAAATCACAGAGCAAACCTTTAAAGAATAAAAACACAACAATGAAAAAAATAAAACAAAGTTTATAAAGTATATCTGTATCACATTTCTTCTCATGCCCTCTTACCCTCTAATAAAGAGTAACAATCACTTGCTTCCTAGTACCCCAGCCTATTGAATTTAGCCACTCTTTGCTATCCCACCCATATAATTTTGCCTGGCTTGAAAGTAGCACTTCCCAACTCTTCCCACATACAAGAAATATGTGCATGGCACACTCTAAGCACACAATATATGGAAAAGGCCGTTCCTTCTATACATAGTTACTCCATACGAACAAGCAATTGACCCAGCAGCATTTCCTGAATAGAGAGGCTACTTACACTATTTCTGGGGGCCAATCTATTAAATTAATCCATTTTATTTATCCCTAAGCCAATAACACACTAAAGCTTTTAAAAAAATCTTTATATTTGGTAGGGGTAGTATCCCCACTTAATGCTTTTCTCCAGGATTAACTTGGTTACTTTCACATATATATTTCTGAATCAGTTAGTATAATTCTATGAACCCAACTGAGATTTCACTGGAATTGTATCTGATCTAATGATCAATTTGAGGGAAGAAAACATTTTCTATAAAAGCCTGGAGGATTTAAATGAAATACGGATGAACAAAATGAGAACGGATCCTTGGCTTCAGTGTCACGCATAAGAAAAGAAGTCAGAGCTAAAAATATTTGAGTATCTTCATCATACTCATAGTAGTATAAATCTTAGGAGGGACTCAAACCACCTTGGGAATGTCAAGTGAGAAGACCAGTAAATGAACTCTGAGGAAGCAAACATTTAATACGCAGGCAGAGAAAGGAGAAAGGGGAATGAGCAAAAAAAAGTACTGAGAAGGAATAGTCAAAACAAAAGGAAGAGATTAGAACAGTAGAGATCTCCTGAAAGGGGTAAGAATTATCTAGAAGTAGGAAATGGTTAAGATTCAAGTACAATGAACAAGTAGAGCAGGATAAAAACCAAAAAATGCCTACCTTTTTATAGACTCTTTGGATCTTAAGAGTAGGAAATGTACTTAGTAACCATCTAGTCCAACCCTACTTGATGAATAAACAACTCCCCTTTACAAAATTACCAATATGGAAAAAGACAGTCTCTTCAACAAACAGTGTTCAGAAAACTGGAAAACAGTATGCAGAAGAATGAAACTGGACCACTTTCTTTCACCATACACAAAAATAAATTCAAAATGGATGAAAGACCTAAATGTGAGACAGGAAACCACCAAAATCCTAGAGAACACAAGCAAGCAACCTCTCTGACCTCAGCTGCAGCAACTTCTTACTAAACACGTCACCAGAGGCAAAGGGAACAAAAGCAAAAATGAACCACTGGACTTCATCAACATAAAAAGCACAGCAAATAAACAATCAAAGAAACTAAAAGGCAACCTTCAGAATGGGAGAAGATACATGAAAATGACATATCAGATAAAGGACCAGTATCCAAAAACAATAAAGAACTTATCAAATACCAAAACAACAATCCAGTTAAGAAATGGGCAGAAGACATGAATCGACATTTTTCCAAAGACATACAGATGGCTAACACATGAAAAGATGTTCAACATCACTTATCATCAGGGAAATACAAATTAAAACCACAGTGAGATACCACCTCACACCTGTCAGAATGGCTAACATTAACAATACTGGAAACAACAGGTGTTGGCGAAGATGTGGAGAAAGAGGATCTCTTTTGCACTGCTGGTGGGAATGCAAACTGGTGGAGCCACTCTGGAAAACAGTATGAAGGTTCCTCAGAAAGTCAGAAATAGAACTACCCTAAGATCCAGCAGTTGCACTACGATTTACCCAAAGGACACAAAAATACAGATTCGAAAGGATACATGCATCCCAGTGTTTAAAGCAGCATTATCAATAATAGCCAAAGTATGGAAAGAGCCCAAATATCCATCAATTGATGAATGGATAAAGATGTGGTGTGTATACACATACACACGAATATTACTCAACCACAGAAAAAACCAGAACCTTGCCATTTGCAATGACATGGATTGAGTTAGAGTATACATGCTAAGTGAAGTAAGTCAGAGAAAGACAAATACTATATGATTCCACTCATATGTGGAATTCAGAGACAAGTGGATAGATGATGGGCTAGATGGGTGATGGGTATTAAGAAGGGCACTTGCTGTGATGAGCACTGGATGCTGTATGTAAGTGATGAATCACTGAGTTCTAATTCTGAAACCAATACTGTACTGTAACTGGAATTTAAATAAAAATTTGAGAAGAAAAAAATTACCAATAAACAATCCTCTCATCAGTAAGCTAAAACATCTTTTTTTATTTACATGACATACTTAATGTATCAAGATTTTCTAGACCCCTGTGGCACTCTAGGCAATCCTCATTTTGAAAATATTCAAGTTGTTGAGAACTGATGAATACAACATATAAAGGGTGGGTCTGATTACACAAATGATGGGACAACGAATCCAATAACATAAATTCATTAAAAAAAAAAAGTCTGGTAGAAACCGAGAGAAAGGACAGTTTTGCTTATGTTAATGCTTTTAATGGTAAGACAGTGTGATATCATAAAAATACATTTAGTTTTTGTTCCTATTCCTGGCATACAGCTCCTAAAACCTTTGGAATTTCCTGAGTGACAGAGGTATCTTTTTATTTTTTAATGTTTAGTTATTTTTGAGAGAGAGAGAGAGAGACCACAGGCATGCACGCGTGGAGAAGAGACAGAGGGAGACAGAATGTGAAGCAGGCTGAGTTGTCAGCGCACAGCCTGAAGCAGGACTTGAACTCACAAACCATGAGATCGTGACCTGAGCCAAAGTTGGATGCTTAACCAACAGAGCCACCCAGACAACCAGACAGGAGTATCTTTTATTATTCATAAGGAGCCCTTTCCATCACACCTGAGTGTATGCTAATGAAGTGATCCAGATCCCCCAAAGCACTTCACAATGAGGCAAGTCAACAGCAAGACTAAACATATGACTAGACGACTGGAACTTTCAGCTGTCCCCTCTCTCTGGGGAGGTGGGCTGGAAATTGAGCTCTATAAAAACTCCTGAACAACTGGACTTGGGAAGCTTACAGTTGTTGAACACACTGATGACAAAGGGTGTGGAAGTTGTTCCCCAACCGATATCTCTTAGTTCCTGAGTTGTATCCCTTTATGAAAAGCTGATAAATACAAGTAAAGCATCTGAGGAAGTGGTTACGGGAATCCCAGAATTGTGGCTGGGCAGTAATGTGGAGGCAGTCTTGTGAAATGAAGCCCTTAACCTGTGGAGTCACGGCTAACTTCAGGAATTAGTGTAATTAAATGTTAGACACGTAAGTGTTGGAGAATAGGTTGTGATGTGGAAAAACCATAAACACTGTGTCAGAAAATGCCACCAAAAAAGGTACTGATGTTTTAAGCAAACGGTGAACAGAAAAGGAGAATTTTACTGCATTCAATTCACAGGTTATCACAGCATTTTATTTTTTTGTTAAAAAAATTTTTTTAATGTTTATTTATTTTTGAGAGAGAGGGAGGGAGAGAGACAGAGTGTGAGTGGGGGGAGTGGCAGAGACAGGGGGAGACACAGAATCTGAAGCAGGTTCCAGGCTCTGAGCTGTCAGCACAGAGCCCGACATGGAGCTCAAAGTCACAAACTGCAAGATCATGACCCGAGCTGAAGTCGGACACTTAACCGAGTGAGACACCCAGGTGCCCCATCATAGCATTTTAAGAATATAAATGCCATGATTAGTACACATCTTAGTACATACACTGGCACTCAACTATGAATAATTACTACTAAAAGCCAACAGAAAAGTTAGGCCACTGTGTCCAGAATTTATTTATAAAATTACATGAGGCTCATGTGTTAATCAACAGAGCAATTTATCCTCAAGTGGAACTTAATTTGCTTTTGTTTTGACTTGCTTCACTTACCTAAGAGTTATTCTGAACATCTGAACAGTTAACTTTCATTATTCTTTCACAAATTTTTCACAAACTCACCATGTATCTCTACAGCTTTCTGAGCTCTACAAATGTGAAATATAGAAGATGCAAAAAAATACCAGAAAACTAAATGGTAATTTTTAAAAGGCAACTGTATCCTCAGCTAAGAAAAATTATTTTTTAAAGATTTTATTTAAGCAATCTCTACGCCCAAAGTGGGGTTCAAACTTACAACCCAAGACCAAGCGTCACATACTCCATGGACTGAGCCAGCTAGGCACCCCAAGAAAAACTATTTTAATTAAAAAACTTTTGGGGCACCTGGGTGGCTCAGTCAGTTTAAGCTTCTGACTTCGGCTCAGATCATGATCTCACAGTTTGTGAGTTCGAGCTCCATGTCAAGCTCTGTGCTGACAGCCCTGAACCTGGAGCCTGCATTGGATTCTGTGTCTCCCTCTCTCTCTGCCCCTTCCCAGCTTGTGTTGTTTCTTTCAAAAAATAAATAAACATTAAAAATTTTTTTAAAACTTTTGATTAATTTTTTAAAAATCCTTAAAACAACTTTTTTTTTTAACAAAAATAAATGTTTATTCATTCTTGAGAGAGGGAACAAGACTGGGAAGGAGCAGAGACAGAGGGGGACAGAGGATCTGAAATGGGCTCTGCGCTGACAGCAGGGTGCATGATGTGGAGCTTGAACTCACGAACTGTGAGATCATGACCTCAGCAGAAGTCAGACACTCAACGAATGAGCTACTCAGGCATGCCCCCCCTCCCCCCGCCCCGGCCAATTTATTTATTTATTTTTTTTAACTAGGCTCCACTCCCAACACTGGACTTGAACTCATGACTCTAACATCAAGAGTCACATGCCCTAACAACTGAGCCAGCTAGACATCTCTTTTGACTAATTTTTAACAAGTCCTTGAAGGACATAATCAATGTTGATGTGAATGAAGGAATTTAGAATGACAGGAAGATAAAGGGAATCAGTTAACAAGATCTTCTGTGATAAATAACTTTGAAAGAACCATACTACAGTTAAATATGAAACTTAAAAGTATTGCACCTTGGGAAGTAAGTAGTGGGAAATAAAATATATTACTGCAAGTAATCTGTAGTTAGCTTACTATTGAAAAAGCTCTATTATTTATTACATAAACCAATCTTCAACTAAATATATAGTTAAGTTCAAATATGTCAATATTTTACATAAAACAACTAATTAAACTTCTCTATATACTCAACCTGTATCAGGGACATCAGTGGGTCTCATAATTCTCCGAATCTGCTCCATAGACTGCAGGTCTGGTGACAGTCCTATAAATAAAAGATGGTCAGAGTAATGACATCTAAACAATTTTCACTTAAATAAAGCAACATTTAATCAAAGTAGATTCACTATCTGAAATTAAAAATATGTAATGTGTTCCTTTTAATGTTATCTTCAATATACAGAGTTAGAAATCTTACCATTCTTCTTTCTTTCCAACCATTCTCTGCCTTTCTCCAGGAATATACCCAATTCCAATCCTTCCGACCACTTTTGTCACTTCTCACCACCTAATCTTAAAGATGTTTACTTCCAAGTTTAAGTGCCTCACTGTCCTGTAAGACCTTCCTACATCTCTCTGTAACATGCTCATTATCTTCGTAAAGTGTAATTGTTGATCACAAGGATAAGAAAAAGCACATGAAAACACTTCACAATCTTTAGTACATAAACTATTATTTCTCCTTTATGGATAATCCAAATACCAACACATAACTTCTTAATTTCTACTTTTAAGTATACTAATGTGCAAGAACTACAATTTCCTAAATGTTTAGGATCTACTATAAAATACTTCAATTAATATAGTAACATGTTCTATCAGAGAATAAATCATTTTTTTTAATGTTTATTTATTTTGAGAGAGAGAGAGAGGGAGCCCATGTGTTCCCACATGTTAGGGAGGGACAGAGAGAGAGAATTCCAAGCAAGCTTCACACTGTCGTCATGGAGCCTGATGCAGGGCTCAAACTCACAGACCATGAGATCATTACCTGAGCCGAAATCAAGAATCGGGATGCTTAACTGACTGAGCCACCCAGGCGCTCCAAGAATAAATCGCTTTTTACCTCAGGCCTAGACAAGTACATCTATCTTTTCAGCATTTTTCACTTTAATTCTTCCTGCATATTAATAAATAATAATTATAAATAATATTTATATAACTATATAAAACACTAATTTTCTTACAGTATTTTTACTATATTATTTCCATGTACAAAAACCCAATATGGTTATTAAACCATTCAACAAACTACTTTGCTCAGTATTCAAATCTCTATAATCTGATACTCCTTATTCCCTATGTGCTTGACATTCTAGTTAGGCTAGTGCTCACACATTCCTTTAACTAGACAAATAAAAAAAGACCATCTCAAATTCTTTACACCTCTTCAAAGTCTACTCCATCCTTCTAACTCAGGCTTCCATAAACATGTGTCCAACAATTCTCTCCCTTTCCAGACTGCATAAAAACTATTGCTTCTACAAGTGCTTTGACATAATTAAATCCTTTTCATTAGTCAGTATCTGTTTTGAAATATACTTTATTTTATCTTAACTTTTTGGAAACATGTATTTTATCAATAGGTTTTTAATTTCTTAAGACAGCCAGATAATATACAATCTATATATTTTCATGGCACCTATTCCTGCTTATTTTAAAAGTTATACAGAATAAATTATTCTATCAAAAATTATCTTTAGGATGAAAATGGACATATTACATACAGCCTAGAACTCCTGATATGTGGGACTAATAAACCCAATTTCATTTGGATTCTAATGAAAGGTATTTAATACTGGCAGGAAAGTAATCATGATCCTCTCATTTTGACTGACAGTAGTGGTATCTTTCCATCAAAAATGAAGCAAAGGGAATACGTTATTTCAAATAAAACTCTGGTTATCCTCCTCACATGTGAAATTCTTTAAAGATAAGTACTCAACTAAACATTCATTTTGTATAAACCTTCATAAATTTCTAGTTATTAAAAGAGATTTTAGCCATGTTCAGAACAGTTTTAATAATTTGACCTTTTACACAAGCACAGCTATATTTTTCCACAGTGTGCATCCTAGTTACTGTAGGTCTTTTCCAAACAATGGAATGACAGTGAGAAGAACCCATAAAGCAAATTTACTAGTCTACCTCCATGACAACAGAAGATCTTCTCATCCACAATGGCAGCTATAGGCAGACAGTTAAAACAATCGGTGAAGGTCTTCCACAATTTAATATTAAACCTTCGTTTGCCTATAAAAAGAACAAGCAAATAGAAGAAATAAATCTAAAACTGTTTTCATTTGTTATCTCATAGCCACAGGATTATAATTTCAACTTTATTCTTTATACTGCAATTTGTTTTTTCTGTAATGAGTGCTTCTTGTATATTTTTAAAAAGGTAATAAATTTAATGAACATTCAACACCTTCCATAAAGTTAAAAAAACTTGAAAGATTGTGCTAGGTATTTTACGGAACACATATATCAAATCCTTTTGTCTTTTAAGATCACTATAATATAGTCACTTTGAAATAGTCTAACAGACTACTAGTTTATCTGTTCCATTCAATGTGTACATTAGTTGAATACCTAGCCAAATAAGTAAGCAAAAGTGAAAGGGGTACCTCTGGAGATTGTCCATTTTAACTCTAATGCATTGAGTAACACAGCATAAATTTACTGCCAAGAAAGGACAATTTCCAAATGCTTCAATGGTATTCACTTTTGAGTGAATTACAACTTGGCACTACATAAAGTATAAATAGAGACACGAAGGCTATAATTTTCCTATAGTCTAGCATAAAGAGCTACGACAAGAGAAATCTCAAGTGTATGTTCACCTTTTTAGAGTTACTTGATCTTCCTGAATTTGGCAAGAAGTTGCAACAACTAACGCTGGGGAGCGATGAAAGACACAGCACTAATTTCCTATGCTTTTATGCCATAACCTGCCTCTCTGTGAAAAAGTATGACTCAAAGCAGTTTTTACAAGCTGCTCTCATGTACATTAGCTCAACTGATGTCATTTCTATAAACCTTGAGGATACTCAAGCCCATATTTTATTCTTTAAAAACACACCTCTATTCCTCATATAGCTTTAGAAAAGTGGTTATAGTTAGACGTACTACAATCTGCTTCCTGTCTACTGGTCTGATTTGAACAGTTGAAACCATACATTACACCTTAGAAGTAAAAATGCCACGTAAAATCAGATGTAGAATCATTCCTAGTAGAACGCAGCTCCATGAGACTAGAGATGATCTGTCTTGTGCGCTGCTGCATTCCTAGTGTGTAGAGTAGTGCCTGGTATACACACTTCCTCTTGTCAAATTATACAAACCAAGAAGATAGGAGTTTGAATAGGAGTCTACCATATTTAAGGAAGGAAAAAAACAAAAATAGATTCTAATGGAGAATTCACCACCAAAAAACAATAAATTCAATTTGAAAATCGTTGTATTTGGTTCTAAATTGTAATTAACCAAACATGTGTTCTTTCCCATACTCTAACAAAAGCAAAAGACCAATTCAAATGTAGTAATTTAGTAATTACACTTGGAAACATTACTACAAAACAGGAAATCAGTGATTTCTTACCGAAGAAAAAGAGTACAGTAAAATATACCTGAGTAGTTGCTATCCTCATCTCTCGTTTTATAGGCACAAATTAAAATTCTAATAATAAACTTAAACTTTGAAAAAATTTCATAGAACTTCTCAATATTTTTCCTTCTTTATCTCAAAGTTTATTTATTTTGAGGAAGAGAGAGAGGGAGAAAGAGAGCACTGCACGTGTGCCGGGGAGGGACAGAATCCCAAGTGGGTTCTGCACTAACAGCATGGATGTGGGGCTCAAATTCCCGAAAGGTGAGATCATGACCTGAGCAGACACTGAGTTGGCAGCTTAACCAACTGAGCCACCCAGGCGCCCTACAACTTGTGAATATTTCTTGTGACACAGGGCCAATGAAAATTTCCATCTTATCGCAAGAATGCTGAGAGCTAAAATCTTAATAGATACTAGAAAAACAGAGGCTATTATCTATAGTGACCTGTTTCACGTGGATATTTTGCCAAATGAACTGATTAATTACAAGAGGCCCTTTCAGCTGAGTAAGGTGCAGTCAACCTGAAATACCATGATCTTAAGAGATCCCAAAGAACTAGTTTAATTGGTAACATGTTTCCTGGTTTCAGGTTTTTCTTCCATGAAAGATTATTCTTGGTCCTATGCCTGATAAATTATATTTAAAAAAAAATGGATCAAAAGAAATCTTTTGAACTGGAAAATTATATTAGGGAGTATTAGGGAATTTTCCCATTAATAAAAGATAAATTTTTATTTTTACTTACATTCATCATAGAATCCATAAATGCGATTGATGCTAGCACACTCATGGTTTCCTCTTAAGAGAAAGAAGTTCTCTGGATATTTTATTTTATAAGCCAATAGCAAACAAATGGTTTCCAAAGACTGCTTTCCTCTATCCACATAATCTCCTAAGAAAAGATAGTTGGCTTCTGGTGGGAAACCTCCATATTCAAATAATCGCAGTAAATCTGTATACTGTCCATGAATATCTCCTGAAAATAGAAAAAGACAATTTTAGAGCATTTGGTTACTGTGGGAAGCAGCTTCAAATGATTCCCAATGTTTACATCCGTGTGTAATCCTCTCCCCTTGAATGTGGGCTGGAGCTGGTGACTCGCTTCTAACAAACAGGAGACAGAAAAAGTGGGATGGGCTGTCACTTCTGAAATTAGGTTACAAAAGATCACGAGTTCCAATCTGCTTGTACTCTCTTGCCATCTCTCATTCTTGATGCTGAAGCCAGCTGCCTTATGGAGAAGCACACATGGCAAAGAAGTGAAGGAGGCCTCTGGCCAAACACTTATTAGGAACTGAGCTCTCAGTCCATCGGCCCTTAAGGAACTGAATCCTTTCACCATTGAGCCTTGAGATGAATGTAGTCCCAGATCACACCTAGATCGCAACCTTGTGAGAGACCCAAAACCAGAGGATCCAGCTAAGCTGTGCCTGGATTCCTGACTCATAGAAACAGTGCGGTGATAAATTCATGCTGTTTTAAGCCATAAAGTTTTGGAGTAATCTGTTATATAACAGATAACTACTACAGTTACTCTTATTATCTGGTAGTTTAACATTACTTTGTTATACCCAAGAGTGAGACAGCCAGAATTTAGAAATATTTAGTATAACTAATTTCTATTACCCTCCAATTATTTCTGTATCAAAGCATTTTAAAGAGTATCTTGCAGAGAACTGGAATCATTTTAAAATGTTACAAGTAACTACATTTGCTTCATTTAAATTCATAGAAGAGACTGATCATTTCCACAAAATTCTTCTTTTTCAGATTTTATTTTTAAGTCCTCTCTACACCCAACTTGGGACTCGAACTCACAACTCTGAGATTAAGAGTTGCATGCTCTACCAACTGAGCCAGCCAGGCTCTACTCCACAAAAGATCATATTACCTCTTACTTAAAGGTGATATTCTAAGCAAATTAATTTATTCAACAAACATTTACTTAGCTAATATCTTTTATTTGCTAGATACTGTATCAAGAAGCACCAAGCACACGACTTAGTAAACACAAGAAAGAGGAAAAAGAAGTAACGAACACACTAAGCATCTGCCGATTACAAGGTATGAATGTGGATCACTAAGAAACATGCAGGACAGTGAAAATTTTTACATATAAAAATAGTCCTTGACTGAGCAAAAGATGATGATTAAGTCCATCATCAAAGTCCATGTAAAGCTATGTCATAGACGCAAACAGCCACTACCAGTTATCAAACCAAAAGCCAACGATAATTATACCACTTCCCACTGTTACGTGAACTATAAAAAACGCTTTTTGTACAACAATTTTTCTGGCTAAAACAATGTGATCACTCAACCTAAGGTTGTAAATTTTTGTTTTTGGCCAGAAGCCACTATAACACCATGGATATTGCCATATTGCCACCCAAACTTTAGTTTGTAACTGGTACACCAAAATGCCCATTTCTCTACATCCTTGACAACACTGGATTATCAGTTTTTGACTTTTTTTCCGACATGTTTAGAGTTTAGGATTTGTTTTTAAATTGTATTTCACTGATTACTAGTGAGGCTGAGGATCTTACATTTATTGACCCTTTGAATTTCTTCTAAAATCTGCCTTAAAAAAAAGATCTTTCTATTGTATTGTCTGTCTTGTTTCTAAGAACTAAAAACTGTGAATAGCAATCTTGTTATCTGATGTATATTAAAAATATTGTCTGTAACTTACTATTTTATGAAAGTTTTAATTTTTATATTTTATGTTATCAAACCTATCAATCTCTCTTATACAAAAATTTTTAAATGTTTTCTCTAGATCACCTTCAATTTAATTAGGGGAGGAAAACTGGTATTCAAAATAGACTGTTTCCAACTTTACCCGATTACATACCACAAATTTTCAGCGGTGCTTCCAATTCCAAAAGAATAGGCTGGCTGAGAAAGATCTCCCGAGACTTAATACATAAGCCTCGAACTTCTGCTTCAGTCATCTGCACAATCTTTCCTGGACGACATCCTCGTACTGTTAGACAATGAATAAAATGGTCAGTTTTTAAAAATGTATCTATAAAATAAATAATCCTTTAAAAAAAAAAAAAAGTCATGCCCATATTTTGAAGGTCCAGAAAGTCACACAGACAGCAAACTACCAGATACCCTGTAGTGTTCTATGGCTAACAGTAAGGTTATTCCAGTGATCTTTGCCTTTCTATCTTATTGTTGCTGGTTTCTAATGATGCTCCTCAAGGCTGCTGCCACAGAAATGCAGTCCTTTGTGCTTTCCAGTGGCCAACCTTGCAGCCCAAGAGACCTAAACGATTTTAGGAACAGCACCTTTGAGGATAGCCTACTCTCTCAGTAAAGTCTTGCATTTAGGAAAAGGCCAAAATAGCATCATTAAGAACCAGTGGCTATGAAGAAAGGGAAATGAAACAAAAAGTGGCTGTCAGTAGGTGATTTAGTTTCACACACGTCCTTGGAAAATTATGAACAGTCTTAAGAATTTTAACAATTCCCACCCTCCAACTTCTAATCAAAACAAAATTTAAAAGGTTCCAGATAGCTATTAAATTTTAATGTGTTATTATGTCACACAAGGGCACTATATGAAAAACTCTAAAAGCTATTTAGATGGAGGAAAGCATTTTTCCTATGAATGAACAATAAAATCTATCAACTAATAAGTAACTTCTGGAACAGAGTAGGGAGGAATGGTACATGAGGAGTTCTTATTTGCCCTATTGAACTGAACTTGAAATCATTTCCTCTCATTACCTTCTCCACTGGCTCTTTCTCTCTAAATACACTGCTTGCTCCCATTTAATCTTAACTGAAAAAACATTTATTTTTTATTTTTTTAAAAATATTATTTATTGTCAAGTTAGCTAACATACAGCATATATAGTATACTCTTGGTTTCGGGGGGTAGATTCCTGTGATTCATCACTTACATACAGCACCCAGTGCTCATCCCAACAAGTGCCCTCCTCAATGCCTGTCACCCATTTTCTCCTCTCTCCTGCCCCCTCCCCTATCAACCCTCAGTTTGTTCTCTGTATTTAAGAGTCTCTTATGGGTTTGCCTCCCTCTCTGCTTAAAACTAATTTTCCCCCTCCCTTCCCCTTATGGTCTTCTATTAAGTTTCTCAAATTCCACCTATGAGTGAAAACATCGTATGTGTCTTTCTCTGACTGACTTATTTCACTTAGCAGAATACCCTCCAATTCCATCCACGTTGTTGCAAATGGCAGGATTTCATTCCTTTTTTTTTTTTTTTTTTTTTTTTTTTTTTTTTTTTTTTTTTGCCAAGTATTCATTCTGTATATACAAACCACATCTTCTTTATCCATTCATCAGTTGATGTACATTTGGGCTCTTTCCATGATTTGTCTACTGTTGAAAGAGCTGCTATAAAAATTGGGGTACAAGTGCCCTTATGGAATCAGCAGTCCTCTGGCCTTCGGATAAATTGCTAGTAGTGTTATTGCTGGGTTGTAGGGAAGTTCTATTTTTAATTTTTTGAGGAATCTCCACACTGTTTTCCAGAGTGGCTGCACCAGTTTGCATTCCCATCAACAGAGCAAAGGCTGAGAAGGTATTTAAAAAAAGAAAGCAGACTGTATCTCTACATATCCCTACTATTTCCCATTTACAATTAAGTCCACACATTTCTTGTTAAAGACTATGTTTCTTTTGTCAGGTTCAGAGGTTAAAAAAAAAAAAAAAGGCCCCCACATGCAAAAGTCAATCCATGTATACATAACATTAATATAGTAATATCTAAGTAACAGAAAAGACAGACTCTGTTGAAATGTGCTTTAGTAAATATGACTGCTAATAAGATCACCCCTGAAATTCAAAACATCATCAGAACTGCTTTTATTATAGGAACTTTATCATAGCTTCTACATTAGTACTAGCTCATAATCATCAATTACCTACTTCCCATGGACATGTGGATTTTTCTTTTTTTTTTTTTTAACGTTTATTTATTTTTGAGACAGAGAGAGACAGAGCATGAATGGGGGAGGGTCAGAGAGAGAGGGAGACACAGAATCGGAAACAGGCTCCAGGCTCTGCGCAGTCAGCACAGAGCCTGACGCGGGGCTTGAACTCACGGACCGCGAGATCATGACCTGAGCCGAAGTCGGACGCTTAACTGACTGAGCCACCCAGGCGCCCCAAGATATGTGGATTTTTCTAAGACCAAAAAGGGCATCTTACTTGTACTTTCCAGTAAGTATCTACAATACTAGCTTAGATGCAATTCTCTGTAAAATTCTTAATCTTGGCATTAAGTCTTAACTGTATGGGAAATGATATTTGCAAAATACAGTTTTACCATCAGTGCATCAAGTACCTGTCTACTTTCTTGAAGGGAAAAAGTTATTTTTCTTGAAGGATTAAAGATCTCTTGTTGCTTTCAGATGACAAATACTCACCTAAAAATAATTATTTAAAGATAACAGCAATGGACAACACAAACAAAAGTTGGCTCTTAGAAAAGTTCCCACAATTTTTGTTACGATTCTGTAGTAATAAAACACTTTAAGTTACCAACGCTTGGTTGTAACTTGATGACAATCATTAAAACTAGTGTGTGTCACTCTGACATGTCAATTTAAAGCGTCTAAATTACAGTGGTGAATATTTTATCTCATATTTGTTTTATTTTCTCTGTAAATTATCTGTTTAATTTCGACCTCCCAAGTTAGGTTACACTACGGTGTACTTTGACTAATATTTTTACAAAGCTAAAAACGCTTCAATTTGAAGTCATGCTAATCCATAAAACTAAAAATTTACCAAAACAAAAACACACATGAAATTTCGTTGATTTTTAAGGTGCATGGTTTTCCCCAATTAATTTTTAAGTTCAGAAATACTTTGCAATCAATAATTTCTTACAATTTTAATTGGCAGTTGCTTTTTGCCTCTTACTGGCATATAAAACAATGGAGCATTGCGTAATCAAATCACTTCTAAAAGTTGATGAAATGCAGTTAGGGAAACTAAACGTTTTTCTAAAGGTTAAGCATTTGACAAATGACCAAATCTTAGGAATAAATTATCCAAATATTTGGAAAAAAATGATAGATGGCTCAGGGCAATTCCAGCTGTCTTGTCAATTCAAAAGTCCTGCTCCCTCATGTACTCCCGCCAGTATGTACACCCAAATATCCAAGAGCATTTCAAACTTCTCAGTCATCTGAAAACAGGGAGTAAAACAAGGCAACCTGTTAACAAAGAGTTCACTGCCACAATATCCATGAGGGGTTCCAGAATTTGGGTATATGAGCTTAGATACAAGCACCTAGCTAGATTATGAAGATACTAAAAACCTGCACAATTTATAACTCATTAGGTGAAAAGCAATTTCACATCAATCATCTCATTTAATCCTTTTGATGTCCCAAGAATTAGAAAGGGAAGCTATTATCCACACTATACAACAGAAAAATTTAAAAACTTGAAAATCAGGGAGCCCAGGTTTATAAAACTAGAATGAGTAAAAAGCAGCAGAGAAGAATTTAGAACCAGTCTTCTAACTCAACACACTCCTCCCTCTACTACCACAAAAAAATTCTTAGTCAAAAGTTTCCCAGAAAAAAATTTAGCAGCCAATAATTGTAAACCAGGTAAATATGCCATTATAGGAAATATCTACCATGCTGTTGCTGTTTAGAAAATATTTTGAGGTATCACACATATACAGTAAAGTACACTAACATTATGGGCATTTACTCAATAAATTTAAAAATTTTAATGTTTATTTCTTATTGAGGTGGGGGGGAGGGGCAGAGAGAGGGAGTCACAGAATCCAAAGCAGACTCTAGGCTCTGAGGTGTCAGCACAGAGACCAGATGCAGGGCTTGAACTCACCAGCTGTGAGATCATGACCTGAGCCGAAGTGTGAGGCTTAACCGACTGAGCCACCCAGGTGCCCCAAATTTTAACTATGTATACACCTAAGTAATCACATTCACATCAAGATACAGAATACTTCCAGCAACCCTGAAGGCTCCCTTATACCCTTAACCATTCAATAATAATGCCGAAGGTTACTATTTTTATTTCTTTCAGTATGATTAATCTGACTCGTTATTGAATTCTGGATAAATAGAAATATACAGTATACATACTCTTTTGCTCATTCTTCTGTGAAATCTATCCATGTTACTGTGTTCAGCAATGTTTATCTCCTCTAAACATATTTCCTTATGTTTCCTTCTAGACGCTTTACTATTTTAGCCTATCTCATTCAATAATCCATTGATTTAGCACTATTTATTGTAAAGACCATCCTTTCTCCACAGAACTGCAGGGGGAGATGTGTAGAAAAATCAGGTTGACCATACATGAGTGGATCCATTTATGGACACTCCATATAGTCCATTAATCTGTTTATTTTTACAGCAGTACTACATTGTCTTAATTACTGTAGCTTTTTAAAAGAAACTTTATTTTGAGAGACAGAGACAGAGCGTGCGCACACCATATGTGTGCATGTGAACAACTGGGAGAGGGTGAAGAGAGAGAGAATCCCAAGCAGGCTCCACGCTCAGCATGGTGATGGTGGTGGGGGGGCTCAACTTCACCACCATGAGATCACCTGAGTTGACCTGAACCCATATCAAGACTTGGATGTTTAACGGACTGAGTCACCCAGACGCCCCTACTGTTGTTTTTTTATAAAGTTATCTCATAATATAAGCATTCCAACTTTGTTAAGATTGCCTTTGCTAACCTAGGTCCTTTTGCATTTTCAAATATGTTTTAAAATTGGCTTGTCTATTTCTCCTCACCCTCAGCTTGTGGGAGTTTTAACTGGGAATTAATATATCCAGGGAGAATTTACCTTAGTAATAATTTTGAGTCTTCCATAAACATGGTATCTCTTTCAGTTGTCATGCGTTTCTCTCACCAATGTTTTGTAGTGTTTAAGGGGCAGTCCTGCACATTTTCATTAAATTGAATTGAAGGGGTGCTGCTTTGTAAATGTGTTTTATTTCATTTTCTAAT